CGAACACGACTCCAACATACAAACGTCCTACAAACGTTGGTTGTCTGCAAAACCAGGAGGCCTGTTTCTCGAAAGTCCCGGGAGCAAGGTTTTAGCCAGAAGGGTGTCCAGCCGTCCTATGGACGCCCATTTTGGTAGAAATACAAGGAAAATTCACTTAATATTTTATAATTCTATGGGAAAAAATGCCTTCTGGACGGCCAGTTTTCAATGTCTGGCGAAAAGCCTGCCCGGGAGCTTTTTGGGCTCGGAGAGCTATTTTATGTTTGCTGTATTTACATTCAAGATCAAAGCTTCAAGAATTTTAACAATGACACAATGAAACTATCAGTTAACAAAGCAAAATTGACTGGTTTGTGAGCCAGGAACTGTGCTACTATTCAACAAGTTTTGATTTTAAAATTTGCCTTCGGGCCCGAAAAGTTTCCGGGCTTTTCGAGAAACGGGCCCTAGGACACCCCGGCACACCCAGGAACACCCCTGACGGGCCGGATTCCCCCCAGAACACCCTGACCCTTTATTACGAAAAAATGGGAAAAAAACTACATAACCAACAAAACTAAAATATCATCAAGGAACAATAATTATCGATAAATATGTTTTTTCTTGTTTTGTTACCTCATCATTGACAGGAGAGGTATTTTCCCGTATTGACTTGACATTTTGCTTCAAGTTTGTGAGAGAAGTGACACACAAACTTGAAGAAAAATTTTATATGTCTTATCTGTAACTGGAAAATGGATATTGGATCAGATTGACGAATTCACGCAATGATTTCTGACCTGAAGATTTAAGAAAGTAGTCCGTTATTTACTATCCTTCTTTAAAAGTTTGTCTGAAATATAGCTGAAAGAACCGCTACTGAAATAGTTAAGAAGGAATAAATGAATTTTATAAGGGATACTCCTCGATTACGAACATTATTATGAAAATACTATAACTCAAACATGGGAGTAATAGAAAGTAGTAAATATCCGTAAATGCTATACACTACTTTTTTTGAAATCTTTG